AGCCGTCATAGCTCAGTCGTTAGTGGTCTGGTTTTGTAAATCAGGGACTGTGAGTTCAATCCACACTGGTGGCTAAATATTCTCCGTCTTTTCCTTTTTCTTCCTCTCTTTGCATAATATTTGGAAGAAATATTCGCTTTCTTAGCTTCATGGTAAGCCAATATAGCTCAGTAGTTAGAGAATTGGTCTTGTAAACCAGGGGTCGTGAGTTCAATCCTCACTGATGGCCGAACATTTTCCGTCGACTACTGTGTCGTTCACTGTATTTCATTCATATTCGAAAGAAATATTCTTTTCCTTAGCTTCATAACAAGCCATAATATATAAGTGGTTAGAGTACTGGTCTTGTAAACTGGGGTCGTGAGTTCAATCCTCACTGGTGGCTAAACTTTTTCTGTCGATAACGTTTTCTTTATCTCTTTGATTAATATTCGAAAGAAATAGTTACTTTCTTACCTTCATGACCAGCTGGCATAGCTCAGGCGTAAGAGCACGTGATTTGTAAACCAGCAGTCGTGAAATCAATCCTCACTGGTGGCTAAATATTCTCCGTCGATTACATTTTCATTCACTGTATTTCAATCATATTCATATCATATTCGAAAGAAATATTCTTTTTCTTACCTTCATGTCAAGCCATAATATGTCAGTGGTTAGAGCACTGGTAGCTAAATATCCTCCGTCCTTTACTTTTTTTTTCTCTCTTTGCAATAATATTCGAGAGAAATATTCAATTTCTTTACTTCTGAACAAGCCACCATAGCTCAGTGGTTAGAGCACTGGTCTTGTAAACCAGGGATCGTGAGCTCAATCCTCACTGGTGGCTGAATATTTTCCGTCGACTACTGTTTCATTCACTCTATCTCATTCATATTCGAAAGAAATATTCGTTTCCTTAGCTTCATAGCAAGCCATAATATATAAGTGGATAGAGTACTGGTCGTGAGTTCAATCCTCACTGGTGGTTAAATACTTTCTTCCGATAAATTTTTCTTTCACTCTTTTCTTAATACTCGAAAGAAATATTCACTTTTTTGTTTTAGGACTAGCCACCGTATTTCAGTGGTTAGAGCACTGGTTTTATAATCGAGGGGTCGTGATTTCAAACCTAACTGGTAGCTAAATATTCTCCGTCGTTTTCTTTCTCTCCTTGCATAATATTTGGAAGAAATATTCACTTTCTTAGCTTCATAATAAGTCAATATAGCTCAGTGGTTCGAGAATTGATCCTGTATACCAGGGGTCGTGTGTTCAATCCTCACTGGTGGTTGGACCGTTCTGTCTACCCTTGTTCCACCAGTGCAAAACTTTAGCTGTGATTAGGCTTAATATGGACACAGTTTATTGAAAGTGAGTGCTAATTTTTATAATTAGAGGGAAATATCGAGCGGAAGAAGCTAAGGATAGAAGTATGAATTTTGATGTTTTTTTTTCATATTGGCAGGAATGTAAATATTGAATTATTTAATCTTTTAAGTACATGCACGAAAAAATAATTAATACACGTTTAGAATAATCTTATCTTCAGATCTAAATATAGTAAAAGACCTTTCCATCTCGAAATGTTAAAAATTTTCTGACAGCCGAGTAATTAGTTCTAAACAATTAGAAGAAAAAAATTCAGATGATGAAAATTATATAACTCAAGGCATCATTGGAATAAATTAATGTGGCTGATAAGTAACCATTTATAAGTAGAGCATAGTCTGCAAAAAAGTTTATAAGACTATTTTTATGATATTAAGAAACAGTCAGAAATTTTGATGCAAATATTTTCTGTCCACGCTACCTGTTGATGCAATATTTGTAATTAATGTGTTTAAAATTTAATATTGATAAGATATTTTATGACTGTTACTAAAAATAGGTGATATTTTTTCTATTAATGGAACGTCACAATTTTTCTTTGTTTTCATCGTATAACTAGGTGAGAAGTTTCACCTTCTTTCAAGTTAATATTAGGTAATATCTAAAATACAGATTAGAGAAGAGTTTTAACCTGATTATTTTAAATATAATCCATTTGGTCTTTGACAAGGATCATTTTCTTAGATCAAGGATTTAGTCTTTGAACAAGGATATGAAATTGCATTTATTTTGTTGGAATTTTAAGATGAAATATGCATGTGAAGAAAACTAATGATATTTGAACACTTTACCAATTTCAGGCCAATACCCACTATTTATAATAGATGGAAACTAATAAAAACTGATAGGCAGCAAATATTTATTCTAAAGAATACCCCATTCGAGCAGAATATATAAAAAGATTTACATATTTAATAATTTACACTAATAAACAAGATCATAAATGATTATAGAAAAATTAACATAAAAATACATTCATTAGTGATTAGCACTTTGCCCACTCATGCAAAATCATCTCATTATTTGATTGCCATCCAAACAATTCCATACAACTTCGCACAACTAGCAGCGCTGGATTATTAAATAAGCAAAGTAGGCAACTGCCTAATTGGCCCCGCAAATTTGAGGCCCCCCGACGCCTTGTGATTTAGAATTTTTATTTAATTTATAGGAGCCGCGTACTCGAACTGATTCAAATTAAAAACAGTTTTCTCTCAACATTTTTTCGCGTTTTGAAATTTATTTGAAGATCAATGCGGTTCAGTTTGTTTTACAGTTGACTGACTGGTTAAATAGTTCTCACAGATTTTGTATAGAGTATATACATTGTGTAAAAAAGTTTTACAATTTTTTTACTATTTTTAAAAGTTCTTTTTAAATTGAAATTTTACATTTTTTTAATTGTGAGAAACTGAAACCGACTATCTTAAATGTCACCCGCAGTTAAATATTTTGTTGTTTCAATTTGTCGTAATATTTGTTTCTTAAAAACTTCTTGTATAAAGAATAAATGAAAATAAATGATAAAAAATATTTGGTTTTAATAGTTGGGGAGGGGCCTCGGAGTTTATAGTACCTATGGGCCCCAACAAGTCTTAATCCGGCCCTGATAACAAGCCATAAATTTTCTCGTTCCTTCAATTTAGTGCTACGTAATGTCTAAAATATAGATTATAGAAGAGATTTAACCTGAGATTATTTTAAATATAATCGATTTACTGTTTGAGAAGCTTCAGAATCTGTAAAACAGCATCTATTTTATTGGAGTTTTGCGTTTAAATGCGCCAGTAAAAAAATACTGATATTATAACTCTTTACCACTTTCAGGGAAACACTCGCTATTTATATAATAGATGTGAAAAATAGTCGAATAACAAAAACATTCATACATAGAGGCTGCAAATATTTATACATAAGAATACATCATTCGAGCAGAATATATAAAAAAATATTTTCATATTTACTAATTTACATTAATAATTAAGATCATAAATGATAATAGAAAATTGTTTAGCACTTAGTCCGTTCATGCCAGATTATTTTTACAATCTTCATTCCATTATTTGATTACCTTCCAAACAATATAGAGCCGGATTGGGCTATGTTGAGAAAAAGTTTTATTGACAGTGAAATATCACAGAAAATATATACAAGAAAATTTAAAAGCGCTCTTTTGAAGTTAGATTTGCCTATTTATTTTTGATAACATTATCGAAAGTGATGCATTTATTTTTGATAGATGCATTTATTTTTGGTGTTGAAATCAATTTTGGCATTTAAACTCCATTATATTGTCAGCAACGGTTGAAAGTTGCATTTTTATTTTTTATTTTTCTCCTTCTGTGTTTCTACCAGTCGACACATTTATAAAACCTACGCGGTGTTAAAATTCAGCTACTGAATGTTTTGTTTAGAGCAAACCTAATTGAAAAGAATATATTTGAGCGCCAGAACGCATAATTATTATATTCGGTTTTGAATACTGTAAAACTCTATAACTAGATATGTTTAAAGCGTTGAAGAGGAAGAGAAAAGGGAAAACGTGAAGGAGGACATAATTTTTCAATGATAGGCGATTAATTAAATTTCTCATGCCGATAAGTAAAGTAAACTTAGTAAAAGAAAAATAATTAATTAAAAACCAACAGCTTAGTGGAGCTATTTCAAACATAAAGTTTAATAAATTTAAAGAAGAGATTCTGCTTCTAAAGAATGCTCTTAATGTTAAGATAAAAAAAAGAGGAAAAAAATCTAGATAAATTATCCATGTTTCTCTCTTTCACAATTTTTTGTCCTAAAACTGATTCTAATGAGCAAGTCATCTTTATAACGGCTTAACTAACTCGTCTTTATTACTTTAAAAATAAAAAAAAATAAAAAGTGTTTTCTGGGTTTGTAAAATTCGATAATCCTTTCACTTTTTTTTTTTTATTTCGATTCTTTAATTATGCCATAAATTCTCTTGAAAAAATTAATACAGACACGTATAAAAGTAGGTTGAAAGCTATCTAGAATGAAAAATATTTTCTAAGAAGAGATTTCAAAAAGAAAAAAAAAAAGCTAGGGGAGCAAGAATCTC